ATATATATATATATATATATATATGCGCTTTTAAAGAGGACTCTCGCCTGCCCCTCTTTCTTCTGTTAACGCTCATTATGGCACACGCCTGGCTAATTTAGCTGACGTCACTCGTAGCACATATTCAGCCATTTATTGCCTTTGTGAGGATCTGCCTCCTGAGTAATGTGTCACGAGAGCGCAACCCCCATTCCGCAAACAATCTTCAATGATCTTTGGCGACCGACGATTGTGAAGACATGTGATATATACACTTAACGTGGCAAGCGCAAGGAAACGGAGCATTTGGGAAGCTAGAAGTATTCTCCACTCATGCATCATTTAAATTCGTTACTGATTACCTGCAGAGAAACGTACGAATGCCGCCTGCGTTCACAGCCGCTACATAAATTTCGCAGAAGAAAGTTAAAGCCTGAAGAAGCAGCGACATAAAAAGTGAAATTCGAGAGGTACCGAACGCTTCATAAATTTGTATTTATCGTTCATTTCGGTGGGAAGTATAAATTGAATTCGCTACGCCGAAGTTATCTTATTTTAGCGAGAACATCCGCACGACAGCTCAACGGAGCGTAGCACCCTGCGACAACCACATGCCGACACTGAAATCGACATCGACGGCTCAATGGAGCGTAGCACCTTGCCACATTGACATAACTTCGACATGGTCAGTGGGCCACCAGACCACTCGCCAGGTGCTGAGTGACGATGGACCATAGTTGTGATAACAGGAACGATCTGAGCGTTGTCATCACTGTGCCGAATCGTGCAGGTTGCTGGTAACATCTTTACTTTCTTTGTGTTGCTACGCTCGAGTGAATTCATGAGAATGCGCTCGTGGAGTAAGACAAAAAGTACACAGATGTGCATTTCATGTCTTCATGTTACGTTGCTATTTGTCAGCGGTGCGCACTAGAATTCGCAAACAACGTGATATTTAGTAACTCAACAGGTGTTACGACACATTGCTTATGCATATGGTTGACGCAAACACAACAGCGACCATTCGAAGTGTTTTAGCAGTACGCAACGTGGGGTATAGATAGGTGTCATCGCGAATAAGTAACACGCGTTCATGTACCTCATACAGGCATTACCAACCAGCATGATCCAAGCGTGCGCCTCAAGGGGCATATTTCTCGCTGCTCAGACGAGCACTGGTTTCAGAATCGCTGCTTTGCAGGGGTATGAAGCAAAAATGATTCTTGATGGCGTGAACTGCTGCAATTTTATATTTTTCTATTTTTTGTCACTTGTAGATGCTGGTAACGGTGCCGCCTATGGTAGTGGTGACGAAGACATGACTGAAGAGGTGGTGAATATGCTAGCAAAACTCAGTTCAACAGACTTAATGCAGCAATATGGCGGTACAGCAACAAACTTCGGAGGAAGCAATGGGCAACGTTTTGTGAGAGTTTAAGCGTATTTACTCCACTGTCAAGGATATGGCGAGTAGTAAATAGGGTCGGAAGCACGTTCGAGCCTTCTAGACCATTTATTGCCCTCGCGTTATTCAAGAATACATCAATGCCGTCTCTAGCTGAAGAGTTTGCTGACGTGTATGTATTTGGAAGAGAAAATGAACCACCTTACCCACTTCCGCCTCATTCTACATCTGCCATCGACGCACCTTTCACGCTGCGGGAACTTACGTCAGCCATCAGTTGTCTTCGTCGACGCTGTGCTCCTGGACCTGACGAAATTACAAACCAATTGATCTCAAATCTGCCTGCAGAAGTGAAGATCATGCTTCTGATGCATTTCAACTATGTTTGGGAGTCGGGAAACAATCCTCAAGCCTGGAAAATAGCCTGGGTCGTGCCAGTGCTGAAGCCAGGTAAAGACAGAACAGAACTGGCCTCATACAGACCAGTATCAGTAACTTCGTGCGTAGCGAAGCTGATGGAGAAGCTGGCCTGTGTTTGGCTGACATGGTTGATGAAGAATCACAAGATCCTTCCAGCATGTATGACTGGGTTTCGGCAACAGTTGAGTGCACAGGACAACATCTTGGACTTGGTGAGTCACATAGAACACCAAAGAGCATACGGCTTTTCAACTCTGGCAATATTCCTGGACGTTTCAAAAGCATACGACTACGTGTTCCAAGGTGCGAAAATTTGTGGTCTTGCATCTATGGGAATAACGGGGAACCTTTTACGCTTTGTTCAGGCGTTTCTTAGTGATCGCTCGATGCAGGTGAAGTTAGGGACAGTGCTCAGTAGCTCAAGGAAAATCACCAGAGGAGTGCCACAGGGCAGTGTCCTGTCTCCGATGTTGTTCAATGTGGCCATGGCTGGTTTACTTAATGCTCTCAAGACTGTGAGCAAGACAGTACAAATATCAATTTATGCCGACGACATATGCATTTGGCTTTCTGGATATCAGCATAAGAGATTGGAAATGATTGGCCAAAGAGTTTTACACTCTGCACAAACCAATCTTGAATCTATTGGACTAACAATATCAGCAGAAAAGTCTCAATTCATGCTATTCCCAGGTATGCGAAGACGAGAAACAAGGATGAAAATATTACTTCCAGGTGCATCAGTCAAGCCATGAGGTTCCTTGTATGTTCCTTGAGGAAGTCCATGAGGTTCCTTGGAGTCACACTTGACAGCAGGATGAATTGGCGACGAGCAGTAGACAAGACGATGTCGGCACTGACGCCCCGTGTAAACATTCTTCGAAGGATGGCAGGAACAAGCTGGGGGAGTCACCCAACATCAATGATAGTTACACGAGGCAGTAATTGTCAACCGTGTGCTTTTCCAATTGCCCCTGATCTCTCCGAGTGAGTCACAGTACGAACGGCTTGAAAAACTTCATCGAAAAGGCCTCAGAGTTGCTTTGGGAGTGCCAAAGTTTGCAGCGAGCATAAAGGTGCTCCATGTAGCTCGTTTTCCACCGTTACGTCTTCTAGCCTCTCAACGACTGCTGACACAGCTTTGCCGACTTGGCGAATCAAGCCCAGGACGAGCACTACTCAGTCGCCTTCGGTGACGCACGGAATCCCGAGCTTTCGTGGCCCTCAACACCCTTCGCCATCTTATCATTGATTTCCCCAACAAAGACAACTTCGACAAGACCCACCTTGGTCACATGAAGATGTCGATTGCCAGGTGACGATTCCACGGATGCAAAGCAAGCGTTGCACATCCACAGCAGAAATACTTTTATTGGTACTTGAATATGTTGAAGAAAAGTACGCCGATCATTTGAAAGTTTTCACCGATGAATCAGTCGACATAGTGCGCGGAGCAAGCGCTGCAGCGTTTGTGATCCCATCTCTAAATGTTTCCTGGGCAGCGAGACACGAGTGCGTTGTTTCATCGACAGCACGTGAAAGCGTGGCAATTCAGGCAGCCCTGAAAAAACTGAAGTTTTGTAGGCAGCAACAAGTTGTGCTGATCTCGGACAGTAAGCCCGCTTTGCAGCGGCCAAAACATGGATTGATTGTGGTTCGATGCACTGAAAGATCACTGCGAATCCTTAAAGACCTTCATGGCATGGCTATAAACATTACGTTTCAATGGATTCCATCACATGTGGGTATAGCGGGTAATGAGGTGGCTGACATACTTGCCCGGAGTGCTCTGGAGGTTACACCAACGAAGAAGGCTCCAAAAGACAATCGGCGTATCTTACGAGAAGCGGTAATCAAGCATTTTCACTCGTTATGGCTGACGCCTCATCAGCCATGTGTGACACAAGGGCTATCAAAGGAAGAGGCCTGCTTGCTTCATCACATTCGCACGGGATCAGCGCGTACACCAGCATGGCTTCACAAGATCAGACTGTCCGCGACGCCCTTGTGCCCGAAGCGCAAGTAAAACGGTGATATAGAACACTATTTGCTTAAATGTTGTGCGCTTAAGAAGGAACGGCAAGGTTTATTTGAGGAACTGCAACAGCTAGGCTCACCATGCGACAGCGTGACTGATATTATGTTTCCGCGTGGTTCCTCGATCTTCAGGAAACAAGTGTCGCGACTTCTCTTGAAGTTTTTGATTGCTACAGACCTCGCATGTGACTGGTGATAAGTGACAATTATGTTTGATGTATAGTTCAGCGAGATAGAGTACCGGCACAGTACTGCACGTGGAATAGCACAAAGGCCGCTGTCTAATGCAGGCTTACGTCGCGCTATAAACGATTTTTATTTTAAGAGCCTGCTCGTGATAAGTTAAAGAACAAACAAAGGACACAGCTTCATTTAGTAAAGAGGAAACCGGGCGGGGCAATTGCCTGCAAATTATGCAAGGCTAGATCCGTCGGCTACCTACAACATCTTTAATCTTAACCTTGAAGACATGACTAGAAGTGTGAACCTAGCGCACAAGATGTCAACTAGGCCTTCTAGCGTCGGCACATGATCCCATAGGGGGCTTATGGGGGCGCGACCGTGGCATGTGACCAAGTTGCAGCGCTGCAAATTGGCCGCCTTTGCACCCATATTCACTGGCGCTAGATACCGGTCATGCTAATTACTATTACATGTATTCGTAGAATTGTTGCATTAACAGTAGTGATGGGACTCCTCTTTTGACACTTGTGAATTATCAGCAACCCACAAGCTCTAACAGTTAAGTTATTAGGAAACGAATTTAAATCTCGTACAAAGAGCAACGTATTAACTTCACGCTGTTGTTACGTCCTCTGTGGCAGCTTACGCTTGTACTTGTCGTGAAAACTTTACAAGTGTTAAAATCTCAACATTATTTGTAAGGGATTTGATTTTACCTTAAAAGAATGCTGTTAGACACTAGATGTCCTGTTTACGCACCTATACACCAAGAGATGTGCACATGGCACGCTCGCTATTCGGACTTGTTGATGCATAATTTTCTCAGAGAATAGCGCTGGGCGAACAAATACACAAGAATAGAGGCAACACACAACACGAGTGTGATTGTGTGTTCTTATGTCTCTATTAGTCCAGCGCTGTTATACCAGCTTATATATAAACTTACGTATCATGCATATTCTTGGCCATTCTATAGGTGGTCGACAAGTTGACTGGAAGATGCTTGGGCCCCTACAAAACGGGAGAGCTCTTGTTCAAAGCACCTACAGTGATGAAAGGCTACTACAAGCGACCAACGGAGACGGCAGAGTTTTTCGACGAAGAAGGGTGGTGCAAATCAGGTACACGAGGCAAACATTACTAGCTCTTCTAATGACCCAATGGACGTTTACAACCGAGTGCTTTGCATAGCAATTTCTATTCCGCATCATGTCGTGTATATATAAAAACGGCAAAAAGCTTGCAAGATGAGCAGCAGGTTAAGTGAATATACTATGCTATGTTCAAGTGTACCTGGGTGGCCCGTTTTAAAGTTGTTCGTATATTCGTTCTTGAAGGTTATTTTTGTTTATTTCATCTCGCTTCTCTACATTCCCTTTGTCCATTGGTAAACGTAGATGATTTCTGTATGTACTCGACCGACATGCAACCCTTGTGTGCCACCAACGTATGATGTGATTCAAGAACGAGTATACAGTCAAACTCACTAATAATTATACTGCTTTCAACAATGCATCTTTAATAACAATAAGAAGGTGGGGCGCCGTTAACATTGGTGTGTTTTCTTTGGTGAAATAACCCACCTATAGCAATACCCACATGTCAGCTTACCGGTTTTACCAATAAGCTCAAGCTGTTAGGTGTTCATGCCGAAATATAGTGGAATGTGAAATCCTTGAAAAGAAATGAGAAAAATTGGCCCCATATTTGCATGTTTCACTGAAAATGTAGTCGAAAGACGATACTATTGCGTATGGAGAGAGTGAAAAAAACGTTTAGTTGATGTTCTGCGCCAGACAATCGGTGAATTGTAATATGGAGCCGCTGCGTTAGAGTGCCTCGATCCGTGCAGCGGAGCCGAACGAGCGCATGGAGGCACGTAAGACACGAGCACTATCTGGCAGTTATCTTCGAAAACAAAGGATGGCGTGTGCGCCCGCCTCGTAGGTGAATAGGTGTAGAATGCAAAGTGACGAGTGGGTGCCACCATGTTGTCTGAGCTGAAGAGTTACTGTATATGATAGAGTAACTCTTGTCATAGCAAATCATTGGAAGCGCTTGCCTTTTGGGGCATAGCATTGCATTTTCAGCGCAGCGTGATAAACGCTGCAGTTCTTAGAATTACTTATGTATGCCTTCTTAGAATTACTTATGTATGTATGATGAATGTATATGACTGGTGCACACACCGTAATCATGAGATGCGTGTCATAGAACATGATGACATGCAACGCTCATAGCACGCTCACAGCCGTTTCGCTTGCTCCAAATATACCAAATTTGGTATCTGGTGACGTGAATAGATGACTATGGTAAATGTGACACGTCAAAACATCGAAATTATGACATGGAAGTCACGCACGGCATAATTTTCCTCCGCCTCGTAACGTTGTGGTGCCGATTTTAAAGCGACACATCAACTTTCCTCATTCGTGCTTCGCGAATCAATTCCTACTGTACGTGAGATCTGCCAATTTTTCGCGCTAATATTATCAGGACCAAATTTGTGTGGTAATGAAACCGTCATGCTCCCTTATACTAATTTTGGCCTACGCGAAATACGCGGTCTACGCGAAAGGGCTGAACATAGGAGCACCCATACGTAGGCGGATAGGTGGACAGATGGATACGTGACGGGGAACAGTATTAAAGACATCTAATATTATTGTCAAATTGAAAGCGGACATCCAATAGGAGTGTCTAAAATGTACGACGCCATTTTATTTTTGTTTAGTTTTTTCGCTCCCATTTATTGCCAGCGCGTTTTTTTCCTCGCTGAAGCGAAACCATTTAGAGATGAAGACATCACTGTAAAAGTCATTTGCGAGTCATTTACACTTGGCTGCACCCCAAAGTAACGCAACGCGGCTCCGCAAAGACAAAACGAGTGGAACCACTATGTCTTGGGTGCACGTTAAAGAACCCCAGGTGGTCGAAATTTCCGGAGCCCTCCACTACGGCGTCTCTCATAATCACATGGTGGTTTCGGGACGTGAAACCCCACAAATCAATCAATGGAACCACTATGACAATAGAAGAACAAGTGCCGATGGCTGGGCAAGATTTGGAATCTTGGTAGAAACAATGATACAGCTATACGAGAATTGTTGGAAACCTGTCATACCAGGAGATTAGGCATTTCGTGTATCAGCAACACATCTATGTTGCTATTCCTTACAGAGTATCGTTTTTTTAGAAAGTGTAAAGACGGTGATGTGACGCGTAAAGGCATGCTGTTTTGCACGTCGTGCAGGAATGTGGTTGTGATATAGCCTATGTACTTGTTGGGATAATTCAGTCTCGCATTGCCCCTCTGCGTTTCTATGACTCCTCTGCCCTTCCCTTTTTAGTCGGTATGTGCTCAGCATCAAATCGCAGCTGGTGAGCAGCTAAGCACCACTATGCACTTTTGGCGGTCTTGGTCTTGACTGTCTCCGTACGCTGGGTGTGCTCACCTTGCATCGCACACGATGAAGAAGGAAGGGTACATACAAGACATAGTAAAGAAATTGAGTTTCATACATCGCTAAGCAAAGGGGTATAGAGAGAAGCCGGGTAGCAGAGCTACGTCAGTCCCGAATACATTATGGTCCCCGTCAAATCTGCACTCTTCCAGTCTTTCCTCTTAAAAGGTTCAAGACACTTGTGCAACGTCAGGTTTCACTCTCGGGGCATGCTCTAATTTAATAGGAGACTGATAGAAGGTTGAGAAAGTATATATATACCTGATAGAAGGTATAGAAGGTGATAGAAGGTATATATATATATATATATATATATATATATATATATATATATATATATATATATATATATATATATATATTAGTGGGAGCAATAATTCGATGGGCCTTTTAGTCTTCGCGAAGGTACGGGATATGGCACAACGGGAGCGTTGTCAACAAGGATAAATATATTTATCCTTGTTGACAACGCTCCCGTTGTGCCATATCCCGTAAATATATATATATATATATATATATATATATATATATATATATATATATATAAAGAAAAAATCAGCAGCCAACATCATCAAAGAGCAATCAGCAACCACCAGCAGCCAACAGCAGGCGTCTACAGGCCAGCTCGTCACGGGAGGCACAACGGGGTGGAGCTCCAACCCAACCCAGGTACGACCTCCGGGCACCTTGCGGCTCTATTCGCCGCGTCTGTGCAAAGTGACATACTGGCTGTGCGAGTGGGCAAACACCGTCCGTTTCAGATGAACTAGGCCATAGAACGGGTCCAAATGTTCTTAAACTTAGAAAAGTTCTTGACAAAAAAATACGGCACGAACTTCACGTGCAAAGCCTCGAACAATATGTGCTGGCGGGTACGGCTCCGAAGGCGCTGCGCTTGTCGCTAACACCATCGATGCATAACTTTGCCGAAGGGGAAATGAAATGGTGGAATAAAATTCTCGATCACGCCACACAGGAGCTAATTAAGGTCACCATCGAACACTGTAGAAAGACTCTAAACACACTGACAGACGAGGAGCGGTATTTAAGAAATAACTTTTCTCTTTAGGAGTGGGAAGCTAAAGAACTCGACGTATTTGAGCACAAAAAAACAACGGAGGAAATTGAAAAACTTAAGAGAAAGAAATTTGCGTGGGACAATGTGTCACAAGCTATATCCACTGCTGCTTACAGAAAAAATACCAAATCATCTCACGTTCAAAAAAATTTGCCACCACACCCTAAAGAGCCAAACGTTATTAACCTTTCCGACAAAGAACTTAGCAAAGAAGAATTGAGTATACTATCACGCGGACTTGCATTCTGCCCTGGCAACGGAAGGTATGATGAATTCACGCTCCTAAAAGACCTAGACAACTTCGCACGAAATTTACGATTGGAGGAATATTTCTTTGATAAACCCGAAAAAGATAACGCACTTTTTTGTGGGGTAATCGGACGGCAATGGACCCCAGACGCCAACAGAGATCGACATCTGGATCTCTATATAGACGCGGTTCAAAAAGATGTTATACATGCGTACAAGGTGCACAAACCAGGCATGAATAACATATCAAAAAGAGAAAAAGAGGCACTACTCACGTTGAGCAACTGCGAAGATCTCGTCATTAAACCAGCAGACAAAGGAGGCGCGACTGTTGTTCTGAATAGATCGAACTACATTGAGGAAGGCAAGCGACAACTAAATAACAAACAATTCTACAAACACCTCGACTTTGACCCTACCACGGAGCACAAAAAGATCATTGTAACAACCCTAGAGGATCTCACACGTGAAGGCGCCATTGATTCAAAGCTTAAAAAGGCACTTATCACGGTACATTCGGCGCCTGGTCGTTTTTACATGCTGCCGAAGATTCATAAAAAGAATAACCCTGGCAGACCCATTATATCAGGCACGGGAACGTTAATGAAACCCATTTCCAGTTATATTGATTCTTTAATCAAAGACATACCACCCACACATGAGTCCTTCTTGCGTGACACAAACCACTTCCTTCGGGAAATAGCAGACGTGAAAATTCCAGACGATGCATTTCTCGTAACATTGGATGTTAGCTCACTCTACACAAATATCTCACATGACGATGGTGTAAGGGCGCTTGTTGAATCGTATGGCACACACAACCCTGTCGCTTATCCAAGCAAAAAAAGTAATTGAAATCTTCACAAGACTTGTACTCGATTTGAACAGCTTTGAATTTAACAACCAGTACTATCTTCAAATCAGTGGCACGGCAATGGGTACAAGAATGGCCCCAAACTACGCTAACATATTCATGCACCACATAGAGTCCAATTTTCTTTCATCTTGTAATATCAAACCATTACTCTATAAACGGTACCTAGATGATATATTCATAATATGGACACATTCGGAAAAACGAGCTCCTCAAATTCATTACTGGCATTCAACCAGGTACGCCCCAGCATTTATTTTACACACTCCTACTCTAACACTGAAATAAACTTTCTTGATGTACTCATTCGAGTGGACGATGGTGCGTTGGTAACTAACGTATACAGAAAACTTACGGACAGGCAACAATACCTGCACTTCAAAAGCTGCCACCCGCGACATTGTAAGACCAGCATTCCCTATTCCCAAGCACACAGATTCCGACGAATCTGCTCCCGCACCGAGGACTTCCACAAAAACAGCACACATATGCGCGAAGTACTCTTTAATCAAGAATACCCGCCAGCTATCAACGATGACGCCATCAAAAAAGCTGAAAATCTGGACCGCCAGATTCTTCTCAACCAGCAGAAAAACGCCGACCAACACCGCAACAAAAACTTGCTATTAACTTTCACGAGCAACCCACCAAACATAAACAAGGTCCTAAGAAAACACTTTAACATATTGGAACAGAGCGTGCGACTATCAATAATTTTCACTTCTCCTCCTTGTGTTGTATACAGACGGCCAAAAATATAAAGGATCATTTAATAAATTCAAAGATAGGTGTGAAACCTCAAATTGGGTGTCACCCTTGCGGAAAAAGCAGATGCAAGGTATGCAAACACATGCAGACAACGACAGTGGCGAAAAGCACCCACTCGGATTTTAAGCACAGGATAAGAGGTGCACTAGACTGTGACTCAGACAACGTCATATACCTCCTGGAATGTGGGGTATGTAACAAGCAATACGTGGGCCAGACAGACACTCCGTTTAGATTTAGATTCAACAACCATCGGGCACATGTACGATCTCTGCCAGGCCTTCCACTTTCAATACACTGCACATTAAAAGACCACAGCTTTGATGACATCAGGGTTACACTACTAGAAAACAACTTTCGAACAATCAGAGAACGGGAACAACGGGAATCTTATTTTATCTACAAATTTAACACGATAAAATCCGTAATAAATGAACACCCAGGCACTCTGTCAGCGTTACGACCGCTAAAAGACGCAAACGCTTCTCTTTAATCAGTCCGGTTTCATTACGACAATAATATTACCCGCTAACAAAGCTTTTGGCCTATGCATCTGACAACACAGAAATGATTTGCCTCATCAAGCACAGCCGGAACGCACAGATAAGTTGTCCCGGATGTCATACGGTCCCCCACCCCCTTTTTTCTTCTTTTTTTTTTCTTCTTTAAGTTTTAACGCGCATTCTGTTCCTTCACTGACAAGGAGCTGACAGCTAGGTGGTTTCGTTGACTTTTTCATGCATGCGCCCATGTCTTCCCAGTGATCCGCAACTGAGTGGTGACTGTCCGGGATGTCGTACAGTCTCACTCTCCCCCCACCCCCCCCCCCCGTTTTTCTACTTCTTTTTTTTCCTTCTTTAATTTTTAACGCACATTCTGTTCCTTCACTCACAAGGAGCCATTGCATATAATGAATATCGATGGCGGTGCCTCAATCACCGGCTTTTTCATTCCTCCCGACGCCACCAGCACGCACTCGACGCACTTAAGCCCTCCCCATTAACTTATCCTAAACTTCAAAGAGGAACGAGCCGCCAGCGGACTACACGGAAAGGTGAAATACAGGAACGGCGGCTCACTGCCCACTTGGGGAAGAGTGGGTGCGGGGGAGGTATTGTTGACAATGATGACAATGCTCATCTACCTCTGCCCTACTCTGTTGAGATGCGGCCCCTTTCTAATTACGCCGTGTCGGTCTTGCTGCTTCTCCTAGATTTTCTATATTTTATTTAATGTTTGTCCTCCCGTTTCGCTGTTTCTTCTTCTCCCTTTTTTTCTCTCTTGCTCTTTTCTGTGTTTTTTCTCTTTTTTTTTACTTTTCTTTTGACCCCTTCCCTCCTGTCTCGAGAGGCTATAAGAAGACACGAAACATGTGTAAATAGTATTATGCCTTGAAAAAGACGGGGTTCCCGTCGAAACGTCGGCACAATAAACAGTTGTTATCTGAATGCGCATCTACTTTCATATTTATAACCTTGCGGCAACCAAAGGTATTCTTCTATATATATATATATATATATATATATATATATATATATATATATATATGGCGCGCCTTGTTTCTCTTTTGCCGGCCTTCGATACTGCTAATCAGCTTCAAGTATGAACACCGAAGAAGCCAAAGCACCGGAGCGCGAGTGTCAACTAAAACTATCTACAGCTCGACTATCGAAGCGCGCTGCTCAAACACAAAGGGGGGTGTATCAAGAGAACGCACAAGCATATGCATGACAAGTGTGAAATATCAACGGCCCCACTAGTTACTTCTTTGTGTTTGAGCAGTGTGCTCCTTTCACGATCTGAGCCACTGCGGCGAGCAAAGCGACTTTCGTGGGATCGGTAGCATCATGCAAGCTTTGTGGTGAAAACACAGTATGGACAAACCAACACCCTCACGAGATGGTCGTTCTTGTGCGCGGTGACCCTCTATGACAATGTGCACTTGCGTAAAGCGCAAGGAGCCGAGTAAACACTTTGAAGGACCACTCCTTCGCGAAGTTCGCGTCATCTTGCTGGAGTTGACCAGAGCGCGCTTAAGTGCTCATGAGCTTTGTGTACTGTCATCGCTAAAAGAAGTATATAAATCACTCGCGGTGAGTGTGCTGAACAGAGTACGCTCTGTGGCCGAGTTGGTTAGCGCCATAGAAATGTTTATGCATTTGAAATTGAAAATTTTCATGGAAGATAACTTGAAACGTCGCTTGCCTGGAGCTCGGATCTCCACAATATTTGAGTGGAATTTAGCAGCTAAAAGGATATCTGAGTTTCCACTCGTATATCGCTTGACAGAAATCGACTTGAAGGTTCATATCGCTTCTTCGAGTATTTGATGCAACACAAGGGAGGTGCACGTTACTTGTCTTTTTATTCTTATTTAAGTGATAGCAACTTCATACGAACATTGCTAATAAAAAAGCTACACGTAGTTAGTCGCCTAGGCTACTTACCCCAAGGCTCCAAACCTCCGATAGACGATAGAGGGCCCTTCGCCGTGCACTGTTTCGCGAAATCGCTCATATATGTATTGATTTAGTCGTAAGAATAATTTTCACAAAAGCATCTGAAGGAATCGGGCACAAGGCAGGTGCTTCATTTTTGCACACTTGAGGTTGTGTCTTAAACTGACGCTTTTTTCACTCAAACCAAATAGCTGAAATTATTACCAGGTATACATTCAACATTATGCTGTGTATAATACTAATGCAAAAGCAGAACAAACAGCTGTCACGATCATAAAAATGCTTTAAATGAAGCAAGATGTGTCGGCTCCCATACTGGAGCCTTGTTCAAAAGTTGAGCTCTGTGTCTCGATTTTTAAAAAGTGTTTTTACTAAGGCGGGTGTTTCTTATGCAAGGACTCCTCCCCACCAGACGGGACTTCGTGAATTCCTGCAATTTAAGAAGCTATGTGTAATACCATAGGATTTTTTTCAGCTAAGGCCCATAACAACGCTGGTTTTTTCTCAAACGCAGTCTTTTATGTGACCTATAAAAAAAGTTTTCGTATTAGACGTAAATGTCTTCTTTTGGTAGTAGATGTAAATGCCTCACATAATTTCTCTGTGGGGTCTTTTTCGTGTGTAGTCAACAGTGAATCTGCGCATGCTATGATTTTCGGAAAATTTTCTTTGCAGCATTGCCGATTGTACATGACGTCATTCACAGAATGAGCAAACAGCAGTGATATACCCGCGCCCGCATTAGTCGTAACGTGGTCCCCAGTGGCGTCCTTTGTTGGCCATCATCGATGGCTTTCATATGGAGCTTGTCCTATATGTATGGTTTATCCTGTGCGCTGTGACTAATGCTATACTTCGGAGTCACATGGCAATAACTGGTTTCCCAGGTGATGCAGGGTACTACGACGAGGACGGACGGATTTACTTTGTTCAGCGGTTCAAGGAAATGATCAAATGTATGGATAACCAAGTGACTCCTGCCGAGCTCGAAGACCTGCTGCTGCGGGAGCACTCGAGTGACATTGCTGACGTCTGCATCGTCGGCATACCAGATACAGTCTACGGTGAAGCACCAGCTGCCGCTGTCGTGACGCGGTGTACGCAAGCGTCGAAGGACCTTGCAGAGCTGTCCAGGAGGATAAAGAAAACAATAACCGGTAGGGTAACTCTTGTTTAAGCCCCTAAAATTGCAACTGTAACTGAGGTGCATTAGCATTACGAATAGAATATATAGAAGAAAACGCATTTTTGCTGACAGCGGATTTCTTCTAGTTCTCTTCGTAAAGTTGTAGCAATGAATTGATTCAGTATGTTATTAAATTTGATTTCACAGTGCCTTGCAATTACCAGATTTTTTGAAGATGTTGAAGTAAAAAATGAAAGATAGTGTGATCGGGCCTTGTGCGCCCATTAGACATGGCGCAATAGTTCTTTAAATTACTTCATTCGATCAACCTGTTCTGTTTGTTTTCTATGCGAAAAGGGGGGGAGTGCTAACGTAGGATGACTAAAAAAAAGAACGACACAAGCAATTGATTGATATGTGACGTTTAGCGTTCTGAAATCACCATACTTTAGCGATGCTGAGGCAGGCAGGCTAAAAAAATGGCAGCATATCCACGGAGTGAATGATGGAGAGTGGGGTGAAGAATTCATCCGTCTATTCGTTCTTGCTTCCGTCCGTCCATGCGTCCGTCAGTGTGACCGTCCATGCGTCCATCAGCCCGTGCGTGCGTCTGTTCATGCGTCCGTCCCTGCGTTCGTCCATGCAGCCGCCCCTGCGTCCGTTCTTGCATCCATCCATGCATCTGTCTATGTGTCCGTTCGTCCATCTATTCAACACTCCAAGTACCACCATCTGGCATCTTTTCATCATATATTTCCTATATAGAAACACCACCATCCAGCGGACATTCCAAGGACTAAACGAGAGGTGGCACACGCACACTTTCTTACGGCTTGCGCTTCGGGTCCACTTACCACCTTTAACCACCTCGAGTTCATGGTATATACTAGTTCACTGTATTCATGGCACTGCGGCCGAACGCTCGCTAAACCTTTCGAAAACCAAGGAGGTTACGCCCAGTGAGTATAACGTAGCAAACTTTTTCAGTCAGATAGTGCTCAATGTACATGCCAATGGCTGCTAATGGAAAATGAGAGGCGGAGAATCCGGCTTTTACTTTCTTACGGCTTGCGCTTCGTATCTACTTCCCATTTTTAACCACCTCGAGTTCATTCATGGTATATACAAGTTCATTGTATTCATGGCACTGCGGCTCAACGCTCGCTAAACTTTTCTAAAGCTAAGGAGGTTACACCCAGCGAGTATAACGTAGCAACCCTTTCTTGTAAGATAGTGCTCAATGTACATGCTAATGGCTGCTAATGGTGATCGCAGCCTGCGCGTTAACTAAAAGCCGAATGCTCCTGTCTCTCATTCCCAATTAGCAGCCATTGGCATGTACATTGAGCACAATTTTTTATTATTCAACAACGCACAGAAGTTTCTCACCGGCACCCTCTTGGAGGTCAATATGTTATACTTGTTACATACTACGGGGGACTTCGCTCCTAAAAACAAGCGTCTTTATTGGGGCGAACTCGTGCCCACGAGTCTAATGACTATGGTCGTCGAGTCCGAGTAGCCGAAGACACAGATTGCCCTGCCGTGGTGGTCTAGTGGCTGAGGTACTCGGCTGCTGACCCGCAAGTCGCGGGATTGAATCCCGGCTGTGGCGGCTGCATTTGCGATGGAGGCGGAAATGTTGTAGGCCCGTGTGCTCAGATTTGGATGCACGTTAAAGAACCCCAGGTGGTCGAAATTTCCGAAGCCCTCCACTACGGCGTCTCTCATAATCATATGGTGGTTTTAGGACGTTAAACCCCACATATCAATCAATCAATCGAAGGCACAGATTACACTATCTTCCTCTTCTTTGTAGCCCAAGCGCACGAACGCTTGGCGCATGCCAGCCGGGTCTTGCTGGTGCTCCCGCCACGATGATTGCGGCGGGCTACTTGAACGTGGCCAACCTGTCGCGGCATTATCCCTCTCCTCAGACGCATCATCCCGATACTTGAGAGAGTGAAAAGATACATGCACACTCTCACTCGTTTTTTGACGAACTTTCATGATAGGGCTTCACGCGGACTACGTGTACCGCTTCCGCGGGATCGCGGCGTCTTGAGCTCACGTGTCTCGCGGATCTGACTTCATAAGTGACGTCGCTGATATAGTTGAGTACTTCATAAGGGCCGAAGTATCGACAAAGAAGCTTTTCAGAGAGTCCGTGACGGCGTACTGGGATCCATATCCACACTTTGTCACCGGGATGATAAAGTGCGTCACTGCGTCGCTTGTTGTACCGACTAGAGTTGACGTGCTGTTCACGGCGTATTCGGTATCTTGCCATTTGTCGTGCTTCTTCGGCTCTTTACAAGAAGTCATCTAAGTCAGCTGGATAGCTTTTTTTGTCCTGTTGTGGTAACATGGCATTCAGTGGGGTGGTCACGCTTCAGCCGAATACTAGTTCGAAAGGGGCAACGTGGGTTGTTTCTTGAACGGCTGTATCATATGCGAATGTTACGTAGGGTAATATTTCATCCCACTGTTTATGTTCAACATCAACATACATTGATAACATGTCGGTCAGAGTTCTGTTGAGGCGTTTGGTTAAGCCATCTGACTGAGGGTGATACGCCGTTCTTCTGTGACCGGTATTTGTCATGCGCATCAGACATTGCATAAGGTCTGCAGTAAATGCAGTGCCCCGATCCCTAATAACGACGATGGGCGCACCATGTCTGAGCACTATGTTGTTCACAAATAACTTGGCGACTTTGGCAGTTGTCGCACTGTACAGAGAGTCAGTCTCAGCATAACGGGTCAGATAGTCTGTGGCTACGACAATCCATTTCTAGCATGTACACGATTTCGGGAAAGGTCCTAGGAAGTGCATGACGACTTGTTGGAATGGGGCATCCGAAGGGTCTATTGGCTGAAGAAGGCCGGCTGGTTTTACGGCAGGAGTTTTACGCTGTTGACATTGACAAGTTTTGACGTAGCGCTGCACTGATGCGAGCAAGTTAGGCCAATAGTATTTCAGGCGAATCCTGGCGAATTTTCGGCTCACACCCATGTGTCCAGATGTTGGCTCGTGGTGGCATGCATGCAGAATTTCCTGTCGCAAGGCTGTGGGCATGACTAGTCAAAACGTTTCGCCATTAGTTTCGAAGTTCCTCCTGTAAAGGACACTTCCTCGAAGGCAGACCATGGAGAGCCCTCTGGAGAATATGCGAGGGACTTGAACGTCGAGACCCTGCAGGTGTTGTATAGGCTCCAGCAAATCCGGGTCATCTCGTTGTTGAGTGATTTCGGATGCGTCGACAACGCCTGTAAACTGGAAGTCTTCCTCTTCAGGTACACTTAGATCGACGGGAGAGCGTGACAGGCAGTCGGTATGACTGTGTTTTCTTCCAGATTTGTATACGACAGTAATGTCATACTCCTGCAGCCTAAGGCTCCATCTTGCTAGTCGACCTGACGAATCCTTGAGATTTGCCAGCCAGCATAGAGCATGGTGGTCACTGACAGCTCTGAACGGTCTACCATAAAGATATGGTTGAAACTTATTTATTGCCCAGATGACTGCGAGGCACGCTTTTTCAGTTGCAGAGTAGTTTGCCTCAGCTTTTGAGAGTTTGCGGCTGGCATAGGCTTACACTTTCTCTTGACCACTTTGCCACTGGACCACGATGGCGCCGAGGCCGACATTGCTGGCATCGGTATGGACAATATTGTCGGCTGTCTCATCAAAATGGGCAAGTATTGGTGAACCCTGTAGCAGTTTTCTTAATTCATCAAAAGCTTTTTGTTGTTCGCTTCCCCATGTGATGGGCACGTCGTCTTTCGTTAGTTTTGTAAGAGGTTTCGCAATCTTTGAGAAGTTTTCCACAAATCGCCTATAGTAGGCACAAAAACCCAAAAATCGACGCACTGACTTTTTGTCTTTGGGTGTAGGGAACCTTTGAACAGCGGCTGCTTTTTCAGGATAAGGACAAACACCGTCAGAACTAATGACATGTCCAAGGAATCGCAGCTCTTCGAAGCCGAAGTGGCTTTTTTCGGGTTTGATTGTTAAGTTTGCTGACCAGATGGCTTGTCATACTGTGCGCAGTCGCTGTAGATGTTTGTCAAACGTTGCAGAGAATACCACCACGTCATCCAAATACACTAGGCATGACTGCCATTTCAATTCCGCGAGGACAGTGTCCATCATTCGCTGGAACGTCGCTGGCACGGAACAGAAGCCGAACGGAAGCGCTTTGAACTCGTAGAGGCCTTTTGGTGTTACGAATGCCCTTTTCTTACGGTCCCACTCGTCGACCTCTATTTGCCAATATCCGCTTTTCAGATCCAAGGAGGAGAAAAACTTTGCGGATCGCAGCCGATCTAGTGTACCAACGATACGTGGCAAGGGGTACACATCTCGTTTAGTTACACTGCTGAGTTTTCGGTAGTCGACACAAAATGTAAGCGTGTTGTCTTTCTTCTTAACGAGCACTACGGGGGACGCCCATGGACTGCGTAGTCTCTTCCTTTTGTACTGTAAGTTTTAGCGCTTCTTTTTCAGCATACAAGCTTATCAGAGTTCATGTTGGTATACGAGTTTTACGCCAACAGGGCCTGTTGATTCATCTGTCGAAACTTCAACTTCGAAACTGCTCGCGGCTTTGTGCTCCTTTGTGACACAATTGCACGAAACGGAATCCTAGGTGTGTGCGTTTTCGTCATGAAAAAAAATCTACTTTAGTTTTGAGAGTTTTCTTACATGTGTGGCGAGTTTTTCCAGGTTGTGCAGTTTAAAAAGAACCAATGCCCCCCCCCCCCCTTTTTTTTTTTACTTTCTGACGCTTTGCGTCCACAAGATCGAAGTTCTTCTTGACGAATGCCAGCTCTTTGTGTGAAATGGCAATCCCGGAGGCGACGACGAAGACGCTTTCTTTTCACGAATTCATCATCTGTGATTCGTTATTTACAGAATGTTTGACCGCGCCTTCGAAATTTATGGTTCCTCATCGTTTCACCTGTCGTCCTGCTGTCGCGTCCACACCATCCGCGATGCACTACGGACGTTCCACCTCCGACACCCGC